CTCCCGCCTGGAGATCTGCAGCTGGTCCCCCGACTCCCTGAGCTGCGAGGAGGCGCACAAGTGGGACCGGGTGCTGCTTGCTGGCCGCTGGGCCCGGGGCCCCACCGCCGATGGCAGCCAGAGCCCCCGAGGTGAGCGCGGGGCCCATACAGGTTCCTCTGCGGGCAGTGCCTTTGCCCTTCGTTCTCCGGCCTCTGGGCACGGCCCAGGCCCGTGGCCCCTGGGGCGTGGCAGCCAGGACGTGGGCTGGTCTCACCTGGGGCCTGACCTCAGCAAAGGTCACTCTCCAGCTTCTGGTCCAAACTGTCCCTGTTTCACCCCTGCCCCTGTTCCCTGCCCCTCTGCTCCCCTGCCCCCTGCCCCTCTGCTCCCCACTAACCACCCAGGCACCTGCGCTGAGGCCTCTGGCCATGCCCACCTGCCTAGCTGGCTGCTGAGCTGGGGCCGCCATGGCTGATGGCATGGGGGGGGGGGAGGTGGGGAGGGAGGATGCCTGCTGTTCTGATTGCCCGGATCCATCCCAGTGGCCATGTCTCTGTTTGCATCTGAGCCCAAGGTGGAGGGCCCTGACTTGGGGGTCCAAGGTGGCCACACAGGCCTGGGAGTGGCCCCTCTCACCCTCACGGGAGGCACTGGTGCCCCCTTCCCGGTGGGCATGGTCTCTGCATGAACCCCGGCTTGTTAGGAGGGTGGGCAGCCGCCCAGTCCCCAGCCAGGCTAACACACACGTGTCCAGGCTCCTCCTAGGTCCCCACCGCGGGGGCGGCCTCGGAGGAAGACACCCCGAAACGAGGCGCCCACATCTCACAGGAGAAGGAGGCGAATCTGCTGCTTCTTCCACTTCCCGCCTCCCCAGGCCCCGAGCACCCTCTGGCCTCGGGGCGGTGACGTGCTTGCGGGGCTGTACCCGGTGCTGTGGGAGCAGCGTTACAATAAAATCCCCCCTGAGTGCAGGCCTGGGTCTTTTTTTTTTTTTTTTTAATTAAATATGTTTTTATTGATGTCAGAGAGGAAGGGAGAGGGAGAGAGAGAGAGAAACATCCATGATGAGAGAGAGTCATGGATCGGCTGCCTCCTGCATGCCCCGGACTGGGGATCAAGCCCGCAACCCCGGCCTGTGCCCCTGACCGGGAATCGAACCTGGGACCCTTCAGTCCACAGGCCGACGCTCTATCCAATGAGCAACACCAGCCAGGGCGAGGCACTGTCTTTTAAGCTGAGACGTACATTGAATCTGGCCGCTGGACATCCCAGCGTGCTTTGTGTCCGAGGCGCGGACACCTGCCCTGCCATGCAGGGCGCCGCCAGGCCTCACGGAGCCCATTGGTGCCCGCGTTTCAGCTCTCCCTGCTCTTTCGGCGGCAGCACCTGGAGCTGAGCTGAGCCCCGGTGCACCTGCGTGCGCACGTGGATGCAGAAACACGTCCAAGAATCAGACACGGCCGGCCAGGCTCAGCCAACCGCGGAGTCTCGCTGGGGAAGAGGCTGAGCTCCCAGAAGTCTCTGTGACACATGCACACACACGTGCACACACACACGTGCACACACACGCACACACACGCAGACGCACCTGCCCGCAGACCTGCCCAGGGAACGCACCTCCGAGTCCCAGGTGAGGTTCAGATCCGTCGTCTCTAATTGCGATGATTAAGGACCTGCAGGCTCTCTTGGGCAGTCGCCCCAAAGGTATAAGAAATAAAAAAGGAGTTGAAACCCGCCAATTCCCCCTCGGGTGACTTTTCAGGGGGGAAGGAAGGTGGAATAAAAACGATGACTGCCAGCTGAAACCGGCTTGGCTCAGTGGATAGAGCGTCAGCCTGCAGACTGAAGGGTCCCGGGTTCGATTCCGGGCAAGGGCATGTACCTTGGTTGCGGGCACATCCCCACTGAGGGGTGTGCAGGAGGCAGCTGGTCGATGTTTCTCTCTCATTGATGTTTCTGACTCTCTGTCCCTCTTTCTTCCTCTCTGTAAAAAAAAAAAAAAAAAATCAATAAAATATAAAAAAAATTAAAAACAAAAAACGATGAATGCTAATTGGCTTACACTCTTCACAATTACTCCTAGCTGCTGCTTCTCCCCACCCCACCCCTTCCTTTTACGTGTTCAGAAGCAGGTTATTTCCATGTCACCCCTGTTTTTGTCAGACATTAACCCAGGCCGTCCATTAGCACGACGCTCTGCCTGCTTCACGGAACACATTAGCAGAGGTGTCCATTACTGGGACGAGACGGTCATAGAAAAGATGATTTAATGAAAGCAACCCTGTTATTTGCAATCCGGGCCGGCCTGCCTGCAGCCACTGGGAGAGGGGCTGAAGGATGCTGAAGGACTCGGGGGAGTAATTACCGCGTCGACACTGCGCCCCGGGACCCGGGCTCCGGTGACTTCAGGGTCCCCCAAAACAGCTGCCCCAGGGAGGAGCTGCCGGCTCCGGGGAGAGGCAGGATGAGGGGTGACAATGGAGGCCCCCCATCCCTTGTCTTCCCCGGAGGAATCCTCAGAGAAGGGGGCATGAATGGGCGTGCTCTGGTGCTGGAGAGGGTTTTGGGAGGGTTCAGACCATGGAAATTGAGTCCAGAGCTGTTGGCCTGGGTATAAAAATGATAGATGGCCGAAACCGGTTTGGCTCAGTGGATAGAGCGTCAGCCTGCGGACTGAAATGTCCCAGGTTCGATTCTGGCCAAGGGCATGGACCTTGGTTGCGGGCACATCCCCAGTGGGGGGTGTGCAGGAGGCAGCTGATCAATGATTCTCTCTCATCGACGTTTCTAACTCTCTGTCCCTCTCTCTTCTCTCTGTAAAAAATCAATAAAATATATATTTTAAAAAAATGACAGATGGTTTTACATCTGTCATTCTCCGCCCCCCCCCCCACAGCACGTGACAGAACAGCAGGTGGGCACGTGACATCGTGCACAGAGAAGTGTCCCTCTATGTGTGGGCAGTGGGTCTAGAGTCTGGAGTCACCCCTCACTCAGGTCCTCCTGGGCGCCCCCCACAAAATCGGGGGGCAAACTCGGTGACATTAGTTGGTGATTGGTTGACATAGTTGGTGATTCGGTGACATATTTGGCAGGTGCTGTTGAGGTCCCACCGAGGGGCCATCTGGAGTGATGGAAGGAGAAGTGGGGACGGAGAGGGCTGCTCCTCTCTCTGTTCCCATGGCGCTGCCCCGGGCGACGCTCAGAAAATGTGAAGGGAGCCCTGACCGGGGTGGCTCAGTGGATAGAGTGTCGGCCTGCAGACGGAAGGGTCCCAGGTTTGAGTCCGGTCAAGGTTATGGACCTTGGTTGCAGGCACATCCCTAGTGGGGAGTGTGCAGGAGGCAGAGCTGATCGATGTTTCTCTCTCATCGATGTTTCTAGCTCTCTATCCCTCTCCCTTCCTCTCTGTGAGAAATCAATAAAATATAAAAAAAAGAAAAAGCGAAGGGAGGTTGCTAAGAGGGATGCGGTATTTCTGTGTTGGAGCCTGGGATCGGATCAATAGAGAGCTCACGGGGGACTCGGGCTGCCTTGCTGTCTGTCTAGGAGGTCAGGGGTACTGGGGGGCAAAGGAGGGGCTCCCTGGCACTAACTAGGTCAGAGGTGCAAGGGTTCTGCCTTGAAACAAGTTCCTGGATCTGTTTGCACGTGCCAGGAGGTCCCGGGTCCCAGGTGGCACCTGCCCAGTGCCCACCGCTGGGATCTGACGGGCAGGCGGAGAGGCAGGGCGATGAGAAATCTGCTTGTGGAACAGAGAAATCCTGAGGAAGAGAATGGGTCAGCCCAGCGTGGGCCAGTGTCCGAGGGGAGGCCGATTCTGAATGTCCACTCTGTGCCACTCTCTGCCAGTGATTCCCAAAGTGTGGTACGCGTACCCCCAGGGGTACGGGAAGAGTCTGGTGGGGATATGTGTTGCACTGGAGTTTGGTGGGGATATGCACTGCACCGTGCTTAGCTGCGCCGAATTCTACGTTCTCATGAGGACGAGGGGTACTCAGCGTTACGAAAATTACAGAAGGGGGTACACATATGTCAAAAGTTTGGGAAACACTAGGTCTAGGCCAATGGTCAGCAAGCTCATGAGTCCACAGAGCCACATATCAACAACACAGCAATGGACATTTCTTTGGAGAGCCAATTTTTTAAAACTTCAACTTATTCGAATGCCACTTCTTCAACATAGGCTCGCCCAGGCCACGGTATTTTGTGGAAGAGCCACACGCAAGGGCCCAAAGAGCTGCAGGTGGCTCGCGAGCCGCAGTTTGCTGACCGCTGGTGTAGGCTCAGGGAGATCTTTGATGAGAAACCCGGGCTTGCATGCACGAACGTCCTATTTCACGCCAGGTTTCCTGTTGGGAATGGCAGCCTATTTGTCTTCATCAAGAGTTGAATAGTAGCCGAAACCGGTGTGGCTCAGTGGATGGAGCGTCGGCCTGAGGACTGGAAGGTCTCAGGTTCGATTCCGCTCAAGGACAAGGACCTTGGTTGCGGGCACATCCCCGGTAGAGGATGTGCAGGAGGCAGCTGGTCGATGTTTCTCTCTCATCGATATTTCTGGCTCTCTATCATTCTCCCTTCCTCTCTGTAGAAAATCAATAAAATATATTTTAAAAAAGAAAGAAAAAAAATAGGTTCCAGGAATTGTAAAAAAAAAAAAAAAAAAAAATCACACTAGTTTAAATTAGGCCAGTAGGGGAGTGTGCAAGAGGCAGCTGGTCAACGTTTCTCTCTCATCGATGTTTCTAGCTCTTTCTCCCTTCCTCTCTGTAAAAAATCAATAAAACATTTTTTTTTTTTAAAAAAAGACACAAAGGCCAAGGCATGCCCTCCACATACCCCTTCCCCCCAACTTATATCCCCAAGTTTCCCGGCGTATCCATTCGAATAAATCGACTAGCGCATGAGAGAGGAAATTGCAGCTATTTTATACATTTTTCCCCCCTTAAAATCCATGCTCACACGTACAGTCAGGTTATAAAAGCAATCCCATGGCCACGTCTCCTGCCTGCGGGTTCTCAGTAGCCGCCGACTCGGAGCTGCGCCTTTTGGAAACCCTCAGAGGCGGCCTCCTTGTCCTGGGCCAGCTGCTCCGCCCTCTGCTCCTTCTTGCGGATGGCCTCCTTGATGCCCTCCACGTGGCACTTCTCCTCCTTCTCGGCCTTGAGCTTCAGGACGTGGTGGCTCTGCTCCCGCCGCAGGCGGAGCTCCCGGGCCTGCTGCACCTTCTGCTCGGCCGCCAGCCGCCCCAGCAGCCGCCGGCGCACCCGCCGCTGCTCCTCCAGCTCCTGCTGGCACTGCTCCTCCTCCTGCTCCTGCAGCTCCCGCAGCTCCCGGTGCGGCCGCTCCCTCCCCGCCAGGCCTCTGTGCAGCTGCTCCTGCGCCCGCTGCGCGCTCTGCTCCAGCGACAGGCGGCGCAGCAGCTCCTCGGCCTTCACCTGGCAGTCCATGAGCACCTTGCGCGCCTGGAAGTTGACCAGGGAGCTCAGGTTGGCCTCGCGCACCTTCTTGCGGCCGCCGCTAGGGGGCGCCTGCTGCTTGGGACACGTCGTGGCCGTCGTGGTGATGGTGGTCGTGGACGGCACCAGCCTCCTCGCCGGCTGCTGCTGCTGCTCCAGGCTGGGCTGCTTCTGCGGCTCGGACAGCGTCTTCTCCAGGTTCTTCTCCAGCTCCAGCTCCTGCTCCAGCTCCTTCTCTCGCTCCCGGAGGAGGCGCTGCACCGGGCCGGGCCTCCTGGGCTTGGGGGTGGGGGCGGGCTCCGGGAGAGCCCGCGTCTTCTCCAGGTTCTTCTCCAGCTCCAGCTCCAGCTCCTGCTCCAGCTCCTGCTCCCTCTCCTGCTCCCGGAGGAGGCGCTGCACCGGGCCGGGCCTCCTGGGCTTGGGGGTGGGGGCGGCCTCCTGGCGGGCCCGCGTCTTCTCCAGCTCCAGCTCCTGCTCCAGCTCCTGCTCCAGCTCCTGCTCCAGCTGCCGCTCCCAGAGGAGGCGCTGCACCAGGCTCGGCCTCCTGGGCTTGGCGACCCGCTCCTGCTGCTGCTGCTGCTGCTGCTGCTGCTGCTGGTGCTGCGCATCCCGGTCGTGGTCCTTGGGCGCCCCCCACAGGTCGTGCCTGGCCTGGCCGTCGCGCGCCCTCTGGCGGGCCCCGCGCTGCTCCCCCCGCTCGCGCTGCTCCCGCTCGCGCTGCCACTGCGCGCGGCTCTGCTGCAGCAGCTGCCAGCGCTCGCGCTCCAGGGTCGCCTGCACCTTGCGGTCCGAGCGCTTGAGCTCCTCCCAGGCGGCCGCCGCCTGCCGCTGCAGCTCGCGCATCCGCTGCGCCTTCTGCAGCCGCGCCAGCACCAGCGCCACGATCTTGCGGTCCCGGGACGACAGCACGGCCTCGTCCAGCTTGTTCTTGAGCATCTGCGTGTGCAGGCTCCTGGCCTCCCTGCCGGAGCGCGCGGGCCGGAGGAGGGACTGGCTGGCGAAGGAGGCGGCCAGCCGGTCCCCGCCGTCCCTCTTGGGGCCGTGCACGCAGCCGGACAGCATCCTGAACTCGCGGGAGGGCGCCGCCGAGGACCTCTCCTCGGAGGGCAGCGAGGACAGGGACCAGCGGTCCAGCCCCCCGCCCCCCGCCGGAAGCGCCCACGGGTCCCCGATCTGCGCCTCGTCCGCCCCGAACAGGCCGCTCAAGGGGGTGCAGGCGCCCTCGGGGTACGGCGGGGGCGAGTCCCCCTGCGCCGGGGGGCAGTGCCGGCAGCGCAGCGGCGGCTGGGGGGGTGAGGCCAGCTGGACCGGGAGGGGCTGCGTCCTGGGCTCCCCCCAGGCCTCCCGGGGGCGCCAGCTGCGCGGGGGCCGGTGTCTCCGGGCGCCGCCGCCGTCGGGGGGCCTTTGCGCCGCAGGCACGTCGCTCAGGCTGCGGCTCTCCCGCGGGGAGTCCGGGGGGGACTGGTGGTGGTGGCGGCGGCGGGGAGGCCAGGGGGTCCCCCCGGCCTCGCTCCCCTCGCCGCCGCCGCCGCAGCCGCCGGGGGTCCCGGCCCGGCAGCCCCGAGCCGGCCGGGTGTGCGCCCCCCGGGGCCTGCGCTCCTGGAGGTCCCGGTGGTGCGAGAAGCGGCCGGAGTCCTCCATGGTCCTCCCTGAGCCGCCAGGGGGCGCTGCCGGGCCCCGCGCTGCCCTGCGATCTCTGGGGTTGGGGGGTGGGGGGTGGGCGCTTATGACGCTCTGGCCACTTCACAATGCCCCTGGCACCGACGGGTCCCCCAGCCCCCCAGCCTTAGACCATGGCCACCCCACTCCCAGGGCCCCCCTCCATCCCCCGGACCCTATACCTGGGGGCGGGGACTCACGGGACAGGGGGGCTGTAGGAAATCAGGGTGACCCTTAAAGCTGGGGGTTCCTAGTGAACTTAATACCGTTATTTTGTAGGCAGGAAATATTTTTTAAAAATATATTTTATGGGGGATGGGGGGACTCAGGGGACAAGGGGGCTGTAGGAAATCAGGGTGACCCTTAAAGCTGAGAGTTCCTAGTGAACTTAACACCGTTATTTTAGGCAGGAAATAATATATATATATATATATATATATATATATATATATATATATATATATATATATATATATATAAATTTTTTACAGAGAGGAAGGGAGAGGGATAGAGAGCTAGAAACATCAATGAGAGAGAAACATGGGCCAGCTGCCTCCTGCACACCCCCGAATGGGGGATGTGACTGCAACCAAGGTCCATGCCTTTGACCTGAATCGAAACTGGGACCTTTCAGTCCGCAGCAGACGCTCCATCCACTGAGCCACACCGGTTTCGGCTAAATGATCAATTTTTAAAAGTCAGCTTTGCCGCACAATTTCTCAGGAATCCAGTTCTTTCATGCCCCGCTTTCGTGTTCTCCTTGACTCACCCAGGGAAACGGATGCCTCCAGGGACAGTATCTGAGAAAACACAACTGGCACCTCTCTACAAGAGCCTGTGAGACAGGGACTCACCAACAATAGCAGACCCTCAAAACAGTAAACAAAAACAAACAAACAAACAAAAACATACATTCCGTAAACACCCAGGACAGTCCGTGAAACACTTCTGTGAATCCAGTACTTAAGGATGGAAATTGTAGATTATACGCTTCTTTTTTTTTTTTTTTTTTTTTTTTTTCAGAAAAGCAGAAAATAATGCGATAAGAGCCTGGGAACTAGGAAAGTTACGTTTCCATGGGAACAATCAGTTACCCACAAGGCCCAGTATTCCATGTGCATAAGAACTTGAGTGTGTTAAAATGATGGCTGACCCATATCTGGGAACTCCAACACAACAGCACGGCGACGGAGGGACTGTCCTCTCCTGAGTGTCAGAGGGAGAATCTCAAGATCAGGCGGGCAGCGGAGCCTGGATCAAATCCCGCCTCCCCCTTAACCTCCCCATTGGGTGGTCTTCTGAGCTATCCTTGCATAATTATAGCCCGACCAAATCATGTGTGGCCGAGGGAGGGTGTGTGTGTGTGTGTGGGGGGGGAGGGTGGATTTTAAATATTTCTAGTTGGTTCCATTTTAAGATGTTGGTGTTTCTCACATATGTCACCCTAATGCCATTAACAGCTGGAGATGACAATGAATTAATTCGTTTACAAATATATTTTTTTACTAGAGGCCCAGTGCATGAAATCCGTGCACTGGTAGGCTCCCTAATGGCTGCTGGCTGCCTGCCGTGGTCTCCACCCCTTCCCTCAGCAGGCCCTGTGCCCTGGACTAATTCCCGAATGAACTCTTGGGTGAGGGGACAATTTGCATACTATGCTTTTATTCTATAGGACTGATTTTTAGAGAGAGAGGAACAGAGAGAGAGCGAGAGAGAGAGAGAGAGACGTTGTTATGAGAGTGAAACATGGATCAGCTGCTTCCTGCGTGCCTCTACCAGGGGCCCCGCCTGCAACCCAGGCATGTGCCCTAACTGGGAATCAAACCGGCAACCTTTGGGCGCATTGAGAGATGCCCAGCCAACCCAGTCACCTGAGCCAGGGCACCAGCAATCCTTCTGAAGAAAAGAAGGACTCAGCATCAGTACTTTCGAAGCTTTACCCCCACCGTGAGATAACAGAACGCAATCACAAGCTCACTCAGCGGTGACTCAGAGGCAGCGGGCTGCACAGCGAAATGATCGATTTTTGAAACTTAATCCCAGATGATTCGTGAGGTTAAACACAGGAAGAGGTTTTCCCGATGGGGACTTGGGGAAGACAGGTGCCTGGAATAATCTATCTCATGTGGGGTTACTTCTTCATCCTCAGCATGGCGTAAATATAATTAGATTTTTTTTTTTTTAAAGAATGAGCTTTACTGAAACTTAAAAAAATAAAAAGGGGGAGGGTGGTTTTTTAAAAGTTCCGTGTTTTTGTTTTACTTTTTCTGTTTTGCTAAAACTGCGTCTGGAGTTTTTCACTCCCAAGGAAATGCGTTTTTCCAGAAAGGTCTCAGGGCGGGGAGGGAGAGGGGAGACAGCTCCAGGACAGGGCAGAGACGGATGGTCCCTCCCCAGGCCTACCGAGTCTGTTCTCTGCGGAGGAGCGAGGAGGCTGGGTGGATGTGGCTACAGTTTGAGGACCACTGACTGCCCCCTCTCCCTTCCCTCCCTCCATTCCTTCCCTCTCCTGCAGGGCAGTTCCAACATCTCCGTCCAGGCAAACACTTGTGTCCTGTGGCTTTCAGGGATGGCCTTGGGGCAGCTTGTGAGCCCATCTCTCTAGCTCCGACCACTCTGATTTCCACCCACCGCCTGCTGGGTTCCCCTCCAGCTACTCAGACACAACACTGCCCTCCTAAAGCCTCCGTTGCAAACTGTGTTCCTGTTTTTATTAGCAGCAGACAGCTTGGTCCCCAAGACTGTACATCTTGATTCTGGTCATCTTTCCTGCTCACCCTCAAGCCATGTGTTCCCTGAGATCTGACAGTCCCCCTCCTCAGAGCCTACCATGGCCGTGGCCGTGGTCGTGGCCCCTGTTCACCTCATTTCCCCCCTCCCCTTGTGTGTGTGTGTTTTTGTTTGTTTTTAATTGATTTTTTACAGAGAGGAAAGGAGAGGGATAGAGAGTTAGAAACATCGATGAGAGAGAATCATCGATCAGCTGCCTCTTGCACACCTCCTACTGGGGATGCGCCCGCAACCCAGGTACATGCCCTTGACCGGAATCGAACCCGGGACCTTTCAGTCCGCAGGCTGACGCTCTATCCGCTGAGCCACACCGGTTTTGGCTGGCCTGTGGTTTTCTCACACCACTGCCCCCCACCCCTTCTTCGGTTCCAGCCTTTACTCTTCCTACAAGACTGGTGTCTGATACACGGCTTATGATACTGTCTTGGATGGCTCCCACTGTCTTCTGAATGAAGTTTAAACTCCTCGGTGTGATATGTAAGGTCCCTTATTGGACCTTCCACCATTATTTCTGACAGCCACCTCCCCCCAACCTGCCCCTACACACACACATACTCTTGAAGCACAAGGGGTTACCCACAATTCCAAAACACACTTTGATGTTTTTGATATCATCTCTTATATTATTACTAGAGGCCTGGCGCATAAAATTCATGGGTCCCTAGGCCTGGCTGGTGATCCGGGCTGATCCATGGGGCGACTGGCAGAGCAATCGTCCCCCCCTCCCCCCTTCCCCGGCTGGCACCTGCCTTGGCTGGCCTGGGGCCCACAGGCTGGTGGAAGCTCCTGTGTTGAGTGTCTCCCCCTGGCGGTCAGTGTGCATCATCGCAACTAGTCGTTCCACTGGTTGTTCCACCGCTGGCCGATTTGCATAGTGGGCTTTTATTCTATAGGATGGCTTCTATAGAATTAAAACGATTCGTTGAGCATAAAAAAACAAATCATGATATAAAGCCCTTGGCGAAAACTTCCTAGAACAACACCTCACACGTAGTAGGACTCAAGACATACTTGTTGAGTGAGTGGGTGACTGAGTAGACATATTCTCCACAAAGTGTAGATTTAGGTCCTAAACTGGGAGCGCCTTGCAGGCTGAGCTGGTATCCGTTTGCGTTTCATGGATTTGCATCGTGTTGGTCGGCATATCTAGGCGCTCAGGACATGCTGGCTGCATGCTGGGTAAGTTCCAGTGAGGTTTGTTCCCTCCCACGCCTTCCCTTGGTGCTAAGGATTAGCTTTCCCAGAGAAAGAAACTCTTGCCAAGCTGTCAGCGGGTTTTTATTTATTTTTATTTTCTTGTTAATCCTCACCCAAGGATATTTTTTTCCATTGGTTTTTAGAGAGAGAGTGAAAGGGAGAGGGAGAGACAGAGAGAAACAATGATGCGAGAGAGAGACATTGGTTGGTTGCCTCCTGCACGCACCCTGACCAGGCCCGGGGGACCTGCAACCAAGGCACAGGCTTTCAGGGGCCATGAACTTGTGCCGGTCAGAATCCTACACCGATCCCTACGGAACCGCTACCTCTGGTTTTGCAAAGCAGAGCTACACATATAAATAACCACGCCGCGTTTGAGGTGACTCCTGGAAGTTAATCTATCCCGAAAGGACGTGTTTTAAAAATCCCAGGGAGAGTCGGCCCAGGGAAAGCTGTCATTCCCCCACCACCATCAGGATGTGAGATTTTTGGGGAAAAGTCAGCAGGTTTGGTGGTGGCCTCAGAGACATGGCATTCATAGCCGCGAATCGCTCCGGACTACTGGGCTGCCACAGGTTTTGAAGCGCAGTCGGCCAGTATTAGCTCATCAGCACACACACCCGTTAACTACCGTGGCTGGGATTCTGGCCAGAGAGCCAGGCCGGCTGAGAAAGGCCAGTCTTGGGGGGACAGCAGGTGGCCAGAGCCAGCGGGGATGGAGACTCGCACCCGCTTTGGAGGGGCGAGCACGGGCACCCCACAAGGGCTGGGAGAGCAAACACCCTGGATCCCCAGAGGCCTGGTCCTTGGCACCTAATTTCCTCCCACGGCGGCTCGGACCACTCTTCCCCTGACCACCAGAGGGCGCCCCGGAGCGGAGAGGGTCAGAGGGACCAGTGCGTCCCCAGGAGCTGGGAAGGGGGACACGTCTCCATCGGGATCCAGGGCGCGCGCAGAGCCTCGGCGTTGGGAAGGGGGAGAGGGACTTACGGACCACGACGTGGAATATGAGAGCCAGCAGCAATGGGCCCCTCCACGCTAACCTCGTGGGTGGCGGGGGTCAGGGGGCACCCCCATCCCCCGGTCCGGCGCCACCTCCGGGAGCCCGGGCGCCGGACAGGGGCGGGCGCGCGCGCTTCCCATTGGCCGGTGAGATCTCTCTTCTTTCCCTTTACATTTTACGTTTAAAAAATCCCCCGGTGTGGCTCCGTGGATAGAGCTTCGGCCTGTGGCCTGAAGGGTCCGGGTTCGATTCCGGTCAAGGGCGTGTACCTTGGTTGCGGGCACGTGTGTGTGTGTGTGTGTGTGTGTGTGTGTGTGTGTGTGTGTGTGTAGGAGGCAGCTGATGGATGTTTCTCTCTCATCGATGTTTCTGGCTCTCTATCCCTCTTCCTTCCTCTCCGTAAAAAATCAGTAAAAATATATTAAAAAAGAAAATTCCCCCTTGCCCCGAGGCCTCCGCTCTGCCCAGGCCCCCTCTCTCCCTCCTCCTTCCATCCCTCCCCCCTCCCTCCCTCCCTCTTTCCTCCCTCCCTCCCTCCCCCCTCCCTCCCTCCCTCTTTCCTCCCTCCCTCCTTCCCCTCCCTCCCTCTGAGACGCCCAGGCCCCCTCCCTCTCTCCCTCCTCCCTCCTCCCCTCCCTCCTTCCTCTCTCCTTCCCTTCCTCCTCCCTCCCTCCCTCCTTCCTTCTCCCTCCTCCCCTCTCCCCCCTCCCGCCGCCGGGCTCGCTGGCGCAGGTGCGGGGCGTGCGGGCGCCTCCTCGGGGGCGCGCGGCCCGGCGGCGGCGGCGGTCCCCCTCCCCCCGCGCCCAGCGGCTCCGGGGCCGGGGAGGTGGGGCCGGGGGGGGGGGCCGGGGAGGCGGGGCCGGGGGGGCCCGGGGAGGCGGGGCCGGGGGGGCCCCCGGGAGGCGGGGGGGAACCCGGGAAGGCGGGGACGGGGAGCCCGGGGAGGCGGGGACGGGGGGGAGGGGGAACCCGGGGAGGCGGGGACGGGGGGGTGGGGGCCCGGCTCCCGTCTGCCTCCCTCCGTCTCCCTCCGGCTCGCGCGGCGGAGGTCGCGCTCCGATGCGGGTGCGCCGGGCGCGGGGAGGCGGCGGCGGCGGCGGGGAGGGAGCTGCCCGCATGAGACCCGCAGGTAAGACCCGGGAGGGGGGATCCCCGCCCCGAGGGGGGCTCTGCGTCCCGGGAGGCGCGCGCAGGCCTGCAGGGGGGGGGGACTGGGTGCCCGGTGCTGCCCGTGCCCCAGAGCGCAGGGGAGGGACAGGTTTGGGCCGCACAGAGCCATCGCCTGGGGGACCGGGCCAGGGGACCATCCCCATCCCCATCCCCATCACGTCCCCGTCCCCGTCCCCATCCCCATCCCCGTCCCCGTCCCCATCCCCATCCCCGTCCCCGTCCCCGTCCCTGTCCCCGTCCCCATCTCCATCCCCATCCCCATCCTGGGAGAACCAGACAAGTATCCTGGGGGCCCCGGTGGGGTCCCTGAGAGTGGCCTGCCCAGGCCGGGAGGGGGGGGAGTGGGGTGGGCAGACTTCCCGGTCATGGTCACGGCCTCGGCCGCGGGGTCCCGGCCCCTCTCCCGCCTCCCCCCTCCGCACGCAGCATCCCATCCTCCCGCAGCGGCTGCACCCCGTGTCCCCGCGCTGGGGGAGCGGGACCAGGATGGGGGGTGCAGTGATTGCGCTCCGGGAAAGGGGGCGGGGGAGGCCCGGAGATGGAGCCGGGGAAGCCGACCCCTCCTCCTATGCCCTCCCCTGGCCCCCTGGTCCCACCTCGGAGTAGCGGCAGGGTGGCCCCCCGCCCAGCCCAGGCAGCCCGGGGGACAGTCCTGTGCGCCCCGGTTGCAGGCGCCTGCCAGCCGGACGCCCCGCGCGGATGAAAGATGTGTCATGGAATGAACCCGGGCCCAGGAGATGGGTTTCTAGAGCAGCAGCGGCGGCGGCGGCAGCAGCAGCAGCAGCAGCCGCCGAAGCCTCAGTGCCCCCAGAGGCTCCTGGCCGTGATCCTGTGGCTCCAGCTGGCCCTGTGCCTGGGCCCCGCGCAGCTCACAGGGGGTGAGTGAGTGCCCCCTCCGGCTGCGGCCCCAGGGCCCACCAGCCACTCCCCCTATCCCCTACATCCAGACCTCTGGGTACCCCAGAACCGGAGGAGCCCCTGTGTCCCAGCCTGAGAACACCCTTTTCCGAAAACCCTGGAGTTCCATCCCCCGACTCCCCCCCCCCCAAATCCTTCTGGAGCCCCGCACAGCGTCACCCCCCTCCCCCCATTCTGCCTGGAGCTTTCCCTCAGCTGCCCAGCAGCCTGACTTCTGGTTTCTCTAAAGGAAAGACAATAAGGCAGACCTGTTATTCTCATCTTTTGGGGGGGGGGGAGGGAAGAGAGAGGCGGGAATTTCTGGGTAATGGGTGGTTGAGGACCTCTGACCTTTGCAGACACGGGTCAGGTTTTGGCTTCGAGAACCCCCTTTGTGAATGAATGTGAAGGGTCCGGTCAGACTGGCTGCAGCCAGGTCTTCCCTGAGACTTGCCTCTCTCCTTCCTCGTCGGGGCGGGGAGGGGGGCGCAGAGGTGTTTGTTCCCCAGGCGTGTTTCTGGAGGGCGGCTCGGCCTCTCCAGGCCTGGCTCACAGGAAGTGGAAGCGAGCTGAGGAAAAGGTGGTGGCTCGGACCCCATAGTCAGTTCTGGGGCAAGGGCTGCAGTCGGGGTTGTGTTGGATGGAGGCAGTGAGATGGAGGTCCCGTCCGGATTTCAGGGCCTAAGACTCTCTCTGCTGCCCCGTGGCTCCTCGCTGTCCGTCACTGCTGTCCACGCCGGGCTTTCCGTGAGAGCTGGCGGAGGTGTTTGGCTGAGGAGGACAGAGAGCCCAGCAGCAGAGCCGAGATGCTGTTAATAAACCAAGTATGATCGGTGGGAAACCAGGAATCGATCGATACTCCAGAAACCATCGTAACCCTTTACACTATTGCTGTTTTGGAGAGAAAAAAAAATGAATGAAAAGTTAGCAAAGGTGGGGGAGGGGGATGAGCTGGACTTGAAGGCAGGCCTCCGGCTCAGAGATCTGAGATGCTCAGGCTGTAAGGGAACTTCCCATGATGCACCTGTCAGTCAGCGAGAAGACACTGGCTTGGGATGGAGGCCCTGTTTTGGTTTTTGGTTACATTGTTTGAGGCAGAGGCAGCTTTTGTGGTGCTCTTACTTTTTTACAGAAGGACTAGAGGCCCGGTGCAGGAATTCGTGCACGGGTGGGGTCCCTTGGCCTGGCCAGCAATTGGGGCTGATGGAGGAGGGAGAGGGAGGTTGGCTGTGGGAGTGCATTAACCACCAGGGGGGCAGCTCCTGCATTGAGTGTCTCCCCCCTGGTGGTCAGTGCACATCATAGCGACTGGTCGTTTGGTTGTTCGGTCACGTAGGCTTTTATATATATATATATATATATATATATATATATATATATATATATATATATATATATATAGGTCTCTGAGATGGGTTTCCTCTTGACAGAGGATGAAACACGAGGCACCTGTGTGGCCTGCCTGGGCTCTGGTCAGAGCGTTCTTGGCCATATCCCTCGGGAGAGCAGGACTAGGTGGGCAGGATGTCATTGGGCGGGGGTGCGGTTCATCCCTCCTCCCTTCTCTCCTCCAGCCTCCTGTCTCGCTCTCATCCCCTCCAACCGGGTCCCCAGGGTTTCCCATCCTCTCGGTTCTCCCCTCCGGGTAGGTGACAGATGCATCAGGGTTCATCTGGGTAGGTTTTTTTTTTTTTTTTTTTTTTAAGTCTATTTTATTTATTTTTACAGAGAGGAAGGGAGAGGGATAGAGAGCTAGAAACATCGATGAGAGAGAAACATCGACCAGCTGCCTCCTGCACACCCCCTACCGGGGATGTGCCCGCAACCACGGTCCATGCCCTTGACCGGAATCAAACCTGGGACCTTTCAGTCTGCAGGCCGACGCTCTGTCCACTGAGCCACACCATCTAGGGCGGCCAGGGATGCTTTAGAGACGAAGGCATGCCTTCAGGAAGCTGGTCGGCTCTAGGCTCTCACCATCTCAGCGACCCAGATGCCGATGAGGGACAGGTCTCCCCCAGGATCTGACCTCCGGGTGGTAACTCAGCGCCGAACGCCACCAGCCTTCGAGAACGCTTTTATCTCATCTCCAGAAAGGTGCATATTGAGTAGACCCTGTTCTGGAACGTGCGGGTTTTCACTTTTGATTGCTTTCCGTGGAAAAGGGAGCACAGCAATGGCAAGATGTAATAATCGTCTCAGCTGGGAGAAAAAGCACGCGCCCAAACCGCGTCTGACAGTTAAAAAGGCTGGACCGGCGAGGGAGAAATGGAGAAAATGATTAGAAAAAGAAAAAGGAGGAGGGGGAGGGAAAGAACTCGACCAAAACCGAAATGCTTTGTCCCTGAACCCCGAGTCCACTCAGTTCTTTGAGTCGGAGGAGGGATGTATGAGCCTGGATTGGCCTGAGGTGTTGTGGCGGTGTCTCTTTCCAGTTTGCCTTTTGGGAATTGGGAGAAGGGGCCCCCAACTGAATACCTGAGAGGACTGACACCGGGTTGACGAGGAGACACAGATTCTTGATGATCCCAGAGTCTGACGGGGTGTGGCCGTGGCTAGCTTCTCTCTTCCTCCATCCAGCCATGAAGCCAGAGGGGATAGGTGGGGAGAGAGGCATTGTAATGGTCCATGTTGGAATAGAGGAGAGAGCAAAGCATTTGTTCTAGAAATCAGTCCTCAGAGACGGGCTCACTAGCACCATGGTCAGCAAACTGCGGCTCTTTGGCCACTTGTGTGTGGCTCTTCCACAAAACACCACGGCCCGGGCGCGTCTACGTTGAAGACGTGGCGTTCAAAGATGTTGACGTTTAAAACATGTGGCTCTCCAAAGAGATGTCCATCGCTGTGCTGTTGATGTTTGGCTCTGTGGACCGATGAGTGTGCCGACCGCTGGGCTAGCACATCCATCGATGATCAGGAGCCCAGGCCAAGCTCTGCTCCTTAGCAGCCTTGGGGGCTTTGAGAAATCTCTGTTTCCTCCTTCACCCCACGCGGAGAATGCCGCCTGGTTTGCAGGGTGGGGAGAGGGGTGGGAGTTAGGTGGATGCCCCACGGATGTGGATAGAGGAGTGAGGAGGGGCCCACACAACGCTGACCCCTCCGGCCTCTGCCTCATCCATGCAGTACACACGGAGTGTGTGTCCCCACCCTCCTTCGAGCACCATTGCATGCAATGCTCTTTTTTTTTTTTTTAACCTATAAAAGCCTTCCTTAACTCTTTATATTTTTAAAATATACATATTTTATTGATTTTTATAGAGAGGGATAGTTAGAAACATCCATCAGCTGCCTCTTGCACACCCCCTACTGGGGATGTGCCGGCAACCAAGGTACATGCGCTTGACCGGAATCGAACCTGGGACCTTTCCGTCTGCAGACTGACGCTCTATCCACTGAGCCAAACCGGTTTTGGCACTCTTTATTTTTTTGTCCAATGAACAGACTTCTCTTTAAGACCCAACACAAACGTCCTGATCTGTTCCCTGTTTCCCTGGCCTCTGAGTTCTCCCTCCCCTGGTCCCACCCCCCTCCCCGCTGCCCTAGGCATAATCCTCCTTCCTCGTGTTGTCTTGTCCACCGATCCCAAGCCCACGGAAGGCCAGACCCTGGACTCCACTCATCATTCCTGAGAGTTGATGGTCTGAGCCTAAGATGCTGCGTTTTAGGGAAGAATTTGCTCCAATATTTCCTCTTCTTTTTCTTTTTTAAAAAAATATATATTTTATTGATTTTTACAGAGAGGAAGGGAGAAAGATAGAGAGTTAGAAACATCGATGAGAGAGAAACAACGATCAGCTGCCTCCTGCACACCCATCACTGGGGATGTGCCCGCAACCAAGGTCCATGCCCTTGACAAGAATCGAACCCGGGACCCTTCAGTCCGCAGGCCGACGTTCTATCCACTGAGCCACACCAGTTAGGGCTTTGCTTTTCTTTAAGCAAAAGAATCCTGTGCTCTAGCCAGTTTGGCTCAGTGGATAGAGCATCAGCCTGTGGATTGAAAGGTCCCAGGTTCGATCACGGTCAAGGGCATGCACCTAGGTTGCAGGCTTGGTCCCAGGCTCTGGTCTGGGCCCATGCAGGAGGCAACCAATTCATGTGTATCTCTCCCATGGATGTTTTTCTCTTTCTCTCCTTCTCCCTCTCCCTTCCACTCTCTCTTTCAAAACAAAAAAATCAATGGAAAAATATCCTCGGGTGAGGATTAATGAAAACAAACAAACAGAAAAAAGAACCCTGTGCCACTCTAAGGCAGCAATTACCCACTCAAGAAGAAGAAGAAAAAAAAGAAATAATTGAGTTGCTCACACGCTAGAATTAAAAGTGCATTCTGAAACAGCTTTTTAATTGAGAGGATTGTAATTGCTTTATTAATCTTAAACAAGGTATACCGGGGACATCAGAGACAGACGCAAAACAGACTCATTCTGGGCGTTGTTTGGCACTGGCAGTGACCTTGGGAGCAGGTGGTGGGTGAGGCCATATTCCCCCCCTCCCCTAGGAGGGCGAGGGCTGGGGGCCCACACAGGTGCGAACACATTTATTCTTAGAAGCGAGAGGAATTGTGGGGCTTGGTAAATTTGATCAATGCTCATTTCATCATTACCCCATTACGTTGAGCTCTTCGAGAGAGGATGAGTAAGTTATTTTTTGTTTGTTTGTTTGTTGTTGTTTTTTTTGGGGGGAAGGGGAATGAAGATTTGACCTGGCCTTCTCATGTTGCTGTTTGAAAATGATGACTTTAGCCGAAACCGGTGTGGCTCCATGGATAGAGCGTCGGCCTGCGGACTGAAGGGTCCCAGGTTAGATTCTGGTCAAGGGCATGTACCTTGGTTGCGGGCACATCCCCAGTGGGGGGTGTGCAAGAGGCAGCTGGTCGATGTTTCTCTCTCATTGATGTTTCTAGCTCTCTATCCCTCTCCCTTCCTCTCTGTAAAAAATCAATAATATATATATATATATATATATATATATATATATA